ATCTGGTTAGGATTTTATGCACAAGTATAATGAAAAGAAAAGTTGAAATTAAAATATGTTTGAATTTTTAATAAACAAAACAAACAAGAATTTAGAATATATTTTCCAAATTAATTATACCCGTTTTTTAATTAACAATGTATGTGTATTGTTTTGTATAACTCTTTGGCATAATGTTCTTGAAAATATATATTTAATTAGAATGTTTTAGAATTTTTTAAGTGCTGATTTCTAGATTCATCTATTCACCTTTTTGCTACAGGCTTACCCAAAATGTTGAGACTGTAAAGACGACCCAAAAATACAAAAGGCTCATTCTTTGTGGGTAACCCTGCAGCATATATGGTTTTTAAGCCTCAGTAACACGTGTTTCTTTTTTGTCAAATCATTTAGTTTATCCATAAATTAGGAACAAAAGGATCAAATACAATTTTGAGATGTCATATTTAATGAGTTTCTGGTTATCATTAAAGTCTTATCCTTTGTGGGTAACCCGTTATACCTGTATTAAAAGCCTTTCTCCGGGAAAGATGAACACGACATTTTAAAAACTGAAGTGTGAATAATCTAAAATGTAATTTTGTGCAAATATTTGAACAGATAATAGAGGAGGGAGTGAGAGCCAATATTAGAATATAGAATATTCAAACAAAAATAATTCAATAATCCGGGGATGCAAATAATAATCAGAAAACAGGGGCTGGTAAAATACGAAAATTGTTCAAATAATTTCTCGCACTTTAGAGACCAACTATGTTTGTTGAGAGGTATTTTTTTTTTTGTAAAAAACACTAAAGAAATTGCCTATTTAAGTATCATTTATTTAAATTTTTTAATTCTTTAGATATTTTTTACATTTTCTATCTTTATTCCTGCTTTGGGGATATGATTGGAGAAATTTAGATAAAACGAATAAAGCAAATCTTTTTACAAAAGTACAGTTAAACACTAAATAAGCCATACATCGAAAGAATTTATCAAATGTCGTCTTGAAAATTTATCTATGTTTTTTTTTTGTTATTTTACGTAAACATCAGTATTTGCGAAAATAAATAAATTACCATGAATATGTGGGAACAGTTTTAAAGAGCTTAATATAATAATTTATTAAAAAACTAAATATCTGCAACATTCCATTATTGGAAAGTGAAGAATACGACATTTGATGAATTGTTTCGATGTTTGGATTTTAACTGTATAATTTGTCAGATTTCGTCCAATTTTTGCACATTTTGCGTTGAATATTTTGATCATTTCATTTTTTTCAAATTTGTTCACACCTACACAAGGACATGTGAATTGGTACTGAACATGGAGGGTTTAAATCTTAACCCTTTTAACCCTGCCCCTCCCCTGGACCTTAACCCTTTTAACCCTCTCTGTCAACTCTGCCCCTCCCCTCGAACTCAAATTGCATATTGAAGAATATTAGAGTTCCCGGTACGTGATGTACTTTTAAGAGAGGAAACAAGACATCTTCCTTATATGTCATAGATAGGTAGGTAGGTAGATAGATAGATAGATAGATAGATATATAGATAGATAGATAGATAGATAGATAGATAGATAGATAGATAGATAGATAGATAGATAGATAGATAGATAGATAGATATATAGATAGATAGATAGATAGATAGATAGATAGATAGATAGATAAAAAGATAGATAGATAGATAGATATATAGATAGATAGATAGATAGATAGATATATATTGAACTCCATATTAGAACGTGGCTGTAAAATATGAAATCCAATAAAGTTTGTGCTTTGATGTTAGTCAGATATTTTAAAAAGTCTTTAATGTTATCTTTTTTCCTATAAAAGATGAACATATCTGAATCGTGTCTAGAGAAAGAATATTTGATGGAACGTTTTCACCGACCAGGGCATCATGTAACAAATATACTTCACCTTTTTAGAAATAAATTATGAATTTAAATTTACATTTTAAAAGTTTGGTCTCGAATTTTAGGCTTTTAATGTTTTTCTTGCCATTCTTTTATTTTGGTAATTCTTGCCCTTAATTAAATATCTTTTTTTGTTCTTCTTCACTGAAACAATAGTTTCTTCGTATTTATTTTATAAACAAAACATAACAATGTCAGATTTCTCGGATTTTTCCGCTTTCATTGGATGATTTTCATTGGATGATTTTCATTGGATGATTTTCATTGGATGATTTTCATTGGATGATTTTCATTGGATGATTTTCATTGGATGATTTTCATTGGTCGATGATTTTCATTGGGTGATTTTCAAAAATGTAAAAAGTTTTCACTTTTGACCAAACCTAAAACTATTTGTTCCCGATCGGTTCAGCCGTTTCGACGTGGTCCAACAAAGCATATATAAAAAACGACAATCAATAGACGAGCCAAATATACACATTTATAAGGAATAATAATATCTAGATCCCTGAAGAACATCTTTGTCTTTTAGGTGGTGTTACGCGAGCCATGCTGCGTGTAGAAAGTCTGCTTGTCACCCCTGGGTATTTCTGAGTTCTCCCTGAAGATCTGTACGGAATGTATTGTGAAAGAACTAGTTTAGGAACTGTTTACAGTCCGACTGCGCAGACGCAAGATTTCTAGCGGAGTAGTAGTTATATTTATATTCAGTATATGTTTATTCGTTTTGCAAGTATTTTCCGTGTTCAGAATTCTGGGATCACCGTGGTAATTATTTTATATATATCTATGTTTATTGGTTGATTCTAGTATGATTGATGATTATGTATTCGTTTGTTGGTTCCTAGCCACAGTTTTTTAATGCCTGAGTGGATTATTTGTTATATTTGTATGATTTTCACTCAAAGCTTTTTCTGTGGGTTTATTAAACTTGTTTAGANGGTAGAATCCCTAAATTAAGAAGGGAGTCTTACGATCCAATCCTGAGAAATACCACACGGTACATATATTAGGTCTTTAGGGAAATCGCTAAGTAGCGAAACAGGTGGATTTAGTTTAACTTAATTTGGTAAATTGTGGGATTTCCCCAGAATTTAGATAAGCACCCTAACATTAGAATTGTATCAACACAAACACATAAAACAACAAGGAAACTAGCATAAGCTTAAAGGAGGGGGGGGGTGCCACGGTACCAGAGGGAGTTTAAAGGGGAGGGGTGCAGAAGCTTAAAGGAAGGGGGGTGCAAGGATATCAGTGCCCCACCATGAATTCACAAAGTGGAAAGGGCCAGGCCAATTAATTTCGTTAAAAACTGAAAGACATCATGCATAATTGGGACAAAAAATACACTTTGGACCCTTTTCCAATAAATTGTTTACTTATAGATCTTAAACTATATTTAAAAATGTTTTAAAAATAATTTTTTACAAGTTTTCAGTTTTGTTTGTGAAAATATCTAAATATAAAAATAAAACCTGAAAGAATGATATTTAATGTTTCAAAGTTTGTTCAAATTTTTAAAATTTTCGATCAAAATATTTAACTTTTTGAATAAAATGTGTCTCACTCTCCCCCTTCATCTCAATTGTGATATTGAATTCTCAACATTGATGAATTGACAGGAGTAGAGTGGGGGAAACTTACAACTCAAAGTTCTGAAGGGAAAAAATTTAATTTCAAAATTTTTAATAAAAAGTGGTTTTTTTTTTGGTTTTGCTCTGAGTTCACTTACATTATTGCAAAGTACAGACGGAAGTCCAAACAATGAGAATTTTTAAAGTATTTCAACTGTACTTCATTTTGAAATTTATTTATTTTCGTTAAAACATTTTTTTTTCATAATCAAATTGCACAATTTATATTTTCTAGGGTGTACAATAAGTTTTACAAAAAAGTTTTTAGGGGTACTTTTAGGGGTACTTTTAGGGGTACTTTTAGATGTCTCAGCCCTGTGATTTTTTTTTAAAGTCCACTACATCTGTACCGGATAAATTTTTAGCCCGAGGTTGGCGTCAAGTGGATTGTTGTAGTGAAATGAAAGGAGTGTTCTCATGAAGGTGGATTAGCATCGTTGTTACACTCACAGCATATAAATATCTAGAATATTGACCAGGGAAAGAAGACACTTTGAAGGCTCGGTTACACAAAAATAGTGTTGTTAGACGATGTAAAAACCAAGCAGAACCCTAAAGCATGATCCAGACCAATTTTAAAACGATTTTATGAACTTTAATGGTAGTTTAATGGGGTTAAGAAGGAAAAAATTAATATTTAATCCTAAACAGGCTGGAGGGGGGGGGGCTTTTTGGCGCCCCTCCCCCCCCCTGTAGTTTTTTTTATGTCCTAGTACTCTCATTTTTGATACTATCACCGTGACATTTTGTGAATTTTAATGAAAATTAATTTAAAGGATTTTTTGTTAAAACTTTTTTCTAAAATTTATACTTATCTTTGCAACCAGCTGATGTAAATTTTAATATTATATATATAAAATTGGTCTCATATTTAGTGTGGGACCTCGCCCTAAAAGCCTAGTCTGTATATATATATGTTGCGTATATTTCTGTCTATGTATATGTATCTAATAAACGCCAAAGCATCTAAAGCGATAGGGAGGGGGTGGGGGGGATAAAGATGCGAGGATGAAAGATAGAGAGAGAGCTCAGGAGAGGATAAGGATATTAGAAGAGTGAAAAAGTATTATATATATTTCATATTTGTAAGATTGACTTCGTGCTCAATATTGAGATTTGCGTGAGTGACAATTTGAAGAAATTGTCGTTTCCTTGAATCTCAGAGACAATCTTCTGCAAGCAAAATATACGTATGCATGATAAATAAAGCAATCATTTCAGCATTTTGTTGCTAATCCAGGTCCGAGCCTTACGTAAGTGATAACAATACACAATACACATATTTCGTGGATTTTATGTTTTCATTTGCGATTTTTCTAAATTTTTTAAAATCTAAATAATTTTGAAACATTTTATTAGATTTAGACTGGCCTTAATTCTTAAATGGGGTCATGTGGGTCACCACTAAATAACGATTCGGCCATATTGACGTTTTTTGGGTTAAAAAACAGACATGGCAAACATATCTAGGCAATTGAGAGTTTCAATTTACAAATCGTTAAAAACTGTAATTGTGAATTGCGAGTGTATCTTCATATTCCTTTTGTAAAAAAAATATGGCGGAATGTTGGACCTAGGACAAGAGGTGAAGAGAAGAGGGGAAGGGGGGATATTTGCGCGAATAAATATATAAAATACACGCATTGTATTCACGCACACCAGTAGTTGAGCGCATGGATAGGAGAATGAAGGGAACATCATATCTTATTCATCTTCTTGTTCTTCTTCTAGGTTCATTCTTGTCAATATATAATTATTCAATGTAAAGGAATTGAGTCTTTGCCACAAACTCAACATTTCTAATCTCTATATCTATATAATGTAATCTAATGTGCACTTCATTGGGTTAAAAACTGAATTCCTGTATCATATCATGGGGATCTAGAGAATAGTTGTTTAAGTTTTAGTTTTTAACTAGTTTTTGATTTATTTGACATAAAAAAACGAACATATTTTTTTTAAATAACTAAGCATCAACAAGGGACTTCTGGGGACCCCAGTTATTTTGAATATATTGATGAAATAATTCAATTATTGTGAATATTTTTGTATCAATTGATTGTCTTGATGTATTGATTGTTAGATTAATTGATTTATTGATCGATTTGATAAATTAATCAAATGATTGTTGGGTTGATTTATTAATCGATTTATTGATTGATTGTTTGATTTATTGAATAATTGATTAATTCATCTAACACAGGCTGTTGTATATTTGGTGTGACTAAAGGAGATCTTTCAAGTTATGGATCTCCAGGTTCTACTGGAGATCATGATCATGATCATCAGAACATGGACGAGTATACAGGAGGACAAACTGATTCAGGTACAGTGTTCGACGATTATAGCATTACGATGAAGACGACCTTTCCATTAAAGTTTTGATTTCTTAAAGCTTTTTTCCAATTACAAGTGAACAAAAAGAAGCTGTAAAGTTGATAAATTCTTTTTGTTTACATTTTTGTATGAATCCATGTTGTTTGAATTTTTGAAAGTATAGTAAATATCAAAATAAAAATTTGTCTTCATTGTATTGATAAATATGACGATGACTGTAGGTGAAAGGGTGTTCAAATAATCTTGCCAATTTTTAAATGTCTGTTTGTCGTATATATTTTTAACTTAAAAAATTAACATTTTTAATTTAACAAGAAAATCAAAGATTTGTAACAAACTCAAACTTTCTAATCCCTTTGCCTGATGGTGCAAACTGCAAGCCAACGAGGGTCATAGTAAACCTTTGATATTTCAAACTTAGATTTTTATAGACATCAAAATTCATAGTTTTAATAGCTAAGGTTTACAACATCGAATCGAGTTGCAAAATTATAAAGAATTAGAAAATCAGACTCAATTTCGTTCTAAATTGCAAGTCCAAATGCGTATAAGAATTTACATTTTTACCAGATCGCTAATTTTTGAACATTCACGATGAGAACACATGTTCTTCTTGTAAGTGATGAGAAGCATAATTATTCCTTTGTTGCAGTCCCTGTGGGTGAAATATTCAAATTTCGGATCAGCTCAACAATTTGATATGAGAAAGCTTTAATGAAAGGACTGAAATTGCGCATTTTTTACAGGACTGTTTTCAGATTTTCTCTTTTATATTAAAAAGAGTTCATATTTAATTCTGACAAAATCTTTTAACATACAAATGACTAATATGACTGATAGTAAAAAATTAACAAGATTTTTATATTTGTATGAGCACCAGAAAAAAAGTTTATCTGTTTCATGCAAATAAATTAAATCTTTGTCAAATAATTGTCTAATATATATCTTTACAATCCTATGTCGCAGACTTTATATGTTTAAAACTATAAATTCTGATCCAAGTTTAAAATATCAAAAGTTTACACCATCTGTATATATTATCAAAAAGAAGAAAAAGAGTCATTATTACGGAAACCCAAGAATGTTGTTAATATTGTACCAATAAAAAAAAATGAGACCAAAACATACAATTGCTGTGAATATTATTTATCATCACTTGAGTCTAATAGACGTCCTCTTTTTCGCGAGTTTTTGGGTCACACTGTATAAAATCGTATATGAAGACAAATTTTATTCCCATGTGTACTGGGGGACCCTGTATCAAGTACTAGGAAGGTATTGTGAAAGGTTTGGATGAATATTATCTGAATTGTATTCAGATAACTAAAGGTCTAGGATGCTGTACACTGAATTATATCTAAGAATAGCTGTATAGTTTTTAAAAAATAAGATTGGATCAGATTTGACAAATAGTGAGATATATAACCTTGTAGTCCTAGTTGAACCTATTCTCTTTCGTAGTCCTAGTTGAACCAATTCTCTTGTGCACCGGTTAAACTTGAAAATAAGTGTTTCAATTTAAATCTCTGAACGTAGTTTAAGCTTAGCTGGAAAATTTGTGTTTTCCGAGATCAATGTTTGATCCTGATCTTTCATTAATCTATAGATCCAAAACTCGAGATCAAACAAACACAAAAGTTTCCGACTCTTGTCATATTTAGCTTTTATTAAATAAAGCACAAATTTATTATAAGAACATTTTATATTTGACTAAAATGAAATCGAATTAAAGGAATTTGAAATATGACAAATGCATTCTGGAGCCTGCTAATAATAAAAGAATCCCCGAGTGTTTAAAAGCTATAAGAAAAAAAAATATCTAATTTTTTAAATGACTTTTTAGTTTAAATGAATTTGTACTAAATTTACAATTACTCTTTCCTTTTTATCAATGTATACAAACTTTTACAAGACTACCTGTAATACTTATTAACGTTTTTAAAGCTTTTTAACTAAATATACCATGGGGGATGATAGTTCTCTACCTGTGTGCTCAGTTAGCTGTACTGTACGCTTACAACTGTTTACTAATATTGATATACTATAGGTTAGACCAGAATCAACTTATAATAAACAAATATTCAGTACGCTCTCGGTGTAGTTTATGTCCTATTAAATTAGTAAAGGATTAGCGTACATCATCACTTTATACACTATAACCTCGATGAAATATACCGAGTTATATGAACAAAGCATATTGCACATATCAATTTGACAGGTTTCCAGCCATTTTTCTAATGTGAATTGTGTTAAAATGTTTCATGATCACATATTATATAAGTGTATATTTGCATTTTTACCAAATCAAATGAATCTGCATTATCTTGTTATTGGGTTAAACCCTAANGGGGGGGTGGTGAGGCAACCTATTGTTTACTTATATCCTGAAATTACTTAAGTAAAATGATGTAAAGTAAGCCTACCATTTTTTTTTTAATAATCCACGGATCAATGAACGCAGTTTTGACAACAAATATATCTCAAAATATTTAAAATTAAACAACGTTTTTCTAGCAAACTACTCATTGAACTGTCCTAAAAAAAGTCTAAACTTAACTAGTCATAAAAAGTTAGCCTATAATCATGCATAGCATCTCCACATTTTTCTTAAAACTTTTTTTTTGGTCTATGATTTTCTAAATATTATTTCAGGCAGCTTCGGCGGAAACAGTTTTGGGGTTGGCAGGTAACTATATGGCATTAGATTAATGATGATTCTTTCGGAAATTTTAATGTTTAATTAATTTTAGTCAGAGTGGTATTGGAGGAAATAATGGAAACGGAGGAGGTTTTGGTAATGGAGGAAACTTTGGAAATGGAGGGGGAAATTTTGGTAGTGGAGGAGGAGGTACCGTAAATGGAGGAGGTTCCGGAAATGGAGAAGGAAACAGTCAAGATGGTATGATGAGTTTAGAAGACAGTATTCCTGGAATTCCTGGCCAGGATTATCCCATTTATGCTATGGTCCAGGAAACTGGGTTCAGTTGCTCTGGAAAGGTACTAAAAATCTTCGAAAAATTTGGCCTGTCAACTTAATTCTGCATAGATAATTGGAATCCATAATGTGCATGACGGTTTAAATCTAAAATGAGTATGACGGTTTAAATCTAAAATGAGCATGAAGGTTTAAATCTAAAATGAGCATGAAGGTTTAAATCTAAAATGAGCATGAAGGTTTAAATCTAAAATGTGCATTCGACGGTTTAAATCTAAAATGAGCATGAAGGTTTAAATCTAAAATGAGCATGAAGGTTTAAATCTAAAATGAGCATGATGGTTTAAATCTAAAATGAGCATTCGACGGTTTAAATCTAAAATGAGCATAAAGGTTTAAATCTAAAATGAGCATGACGGTTTAAATCTAAAATGTGCATGAAGGTTAAAATCTAGAGTGTGCATAAAGGTTTAAATCTAAAATGAGCATGAAGGTTTAAATTTAAAATGTGCCTGAAGGTTTAAATCTAAAATGTGCATGAAGGTTTAAATCTAAAATGAGCATGACGGTTTAAATCTAAAATGTGCATGAAGGTTTAAATCTAGAATGTGCATGAAGGTTTAAATCTAAAATGTGCATGAAGGTTTAAATCTAAAATGAGCATGACCGTTTAAATCTAAAATGAGCATGAAGGTTTAAATCTAGAATGTGAATGAGGATTTAAATCTAGAGTGTGCATGAAGCTTAAATCTAGAATGTGCATGAAGGTTTAAATCTAGAATGTGGATGAAGGTTTATATCTAGAATGTGCATGAAGGTTTAAATCTAGAATGTGCATTAAGGTTTAAATCTAGAATGTGCATGAAGGTTTAAATCTAGAATTTGCATGAAGGTTTAAAACGGCTGTAGATATATTTTCAAGAATCTCTCCATTTAAAGAGTGTCATTCTTTATTCACAAACTGTTCTTTGTCATTTTTTCCCCTTTTCTGTCAACGGTCAGGGTCAAAATTGGCACAATAGACGGAAAGCACATGTTTAGAAAAAAAACAATATATAAAATAATTACTTTTTTAATTACACTGCGCCATATGTAGATGCTAAAAGAAAATATAGACAAAAAATAACGATCCACAAACATTAATTTGACCAGTGAAATAATGTGTATATTCCCTTTAATGAAAAAATAATTAGAATGTCTCCCCTGTATGACGAACTCATCTATGGCAAACATTATAAAAAGAGACGGTCATATTAATGTGACAAAGATTGTACAACTTTGTGACTTCGTAGCTCCTCCTAATGATGCACTTTCATTGTATTTTAACATTTTTCAACATTACTTTACATATTCAAACGTATTTTTATTGTATATAAAAGTAATTTAACGGTGTGAAGTTTGCTGGGGATCCAGTTTGGATTTTACAAACAAGTATGGAATAAGCATATTTTCCCATAACAAATTGTTTGTCAGGTAGCTGGTGGGTATTATGGTGATGCTGGAGCTGAATGCCAAGTGTTCCATATCTGTGCTGGAGGTCCTAATGGAGAACTGATCAACTATAATTTCCTCTGTCCTAATGGAACAATATTCAACCAGGGACATATTTTTCAACATTGTTTACATTGATTGAAATCAAAATGGAAAATTTGCCTCAAACTCTAGTTTTTTATTCTTTTTCAACATGATTAAGCAATTGTCATTTCAAACTTTGACTTTTGAATAAATCAAAGTCAAACTATTTGCTTTTTATTCCTTATTAGCATTTAGACTTTTAAAGCTTCGATTTTTAAAGGCTTTATCTGAACTCCACACATAGTGTTGACCATTGTAATTTATCTAAATCAAAAGTTGACAGCTCTGAAAATTAAATGAAATTGTTTAGTGTAGCTTTTATGTTTTCAACCTAAATATATTTGATATTTCAGATTTTTGATTATTTTTACCTTAAAAATTTAGTGCTTTCAAAAAACAACAATTTTCTAATCTAATTTAATTTAAAAATCTTTTAAAAGAGTAACAAACCATGGCAGTTTATCTAGTTATTATGAAATTTTGTCCGGAAGCTTTTGAAAAAAATGTCTTGACTGTTAAGCAATACTTCATCTGTGATTGGTGGTTTAACGTAGACTGTGCTTTGACGGAGTCCCTGTATACCAGGAATGATGAGATAGCGGCAGCAGCAGATGGTATAGATGCCAGCAATAAAGCATCAAACAACAATCAAGGTTCTGGAAATGGTGATTCTGGTTTCAATAATAATAGAGAAAATGGAGGGAATCGGGGTAACGGAGGCAATATCGGAAATGGAGGCAATAGAGGCACTGGAGGTAATGGAGGCAAGGGGGCTGGAGGTAGCGGGGGAAAGGGTGGAAATCAAGGAAATCGACCCAGCTCTGTTGGTTCTGGATATGGATCTCCAGTTGAAGATTATGATGGGGATACAAGTATCTCCGACTATACGGATTCGTCTCCTTTAACCAGCTACAGAATCCCAAACTATTGAAAGTTTAATATGGCATTTAGATACCCATGAGGTGGAGTGAGGAACGGGTTGGAACTAGAGTTAGAGAAACAAGGGAAATTGATAGAGATGTGCTCGTTAAATTTTTTTTCTCAATTCATTCGTTAATCGTGAACGACCCATTTCGTTCGTTTTTTCAATTTTTTCAAATATACTATTCGTTCATTCTCAAAATTATCAATTTCGTTCATCTTCTCACTATACGATCATTTAGTAAATCGTTTTATCTTCAAAAAAATTGTTAGTTCATTTGTGAAAAATCGTTTGTCCAATGAAAACTTTCGTTTTTTTAAGTTTGTCCCAAAAATTTCTACTCAGTAGAAAAATTTGTTCGTTCAGCTAGTAAAGTTAGACCTAAAACATTTTGTTAATTAAAAAAATCACGATGTCCATCTCTTGAAATGGGCGTTCTGACAAGCTCCCACACAAGCCTCTGAATATGTAATAGATAGAAGCATTACGTTATGTATTCTGTGATATAATAATTACTTAGATTATTTAATTATTCAATCCAAATAAAATATCTAGTTATATAAAAGCTGTATTATTAATTTATCAAAATATGGCCAAATGTACGTCTATTTTTATGCATCCTTATCACAGTGATGCGTCTACTTTCCGAGTATAATGTAGGCTAGCAGGATAATGGAGAGAAGTAAACCCAACTATGTAGCATTTTCATTATGATATTAATAATCTATATAATAAAACAAGACATTTATATATATGTTCCCTATAGCCGACCAAACGGCTAGACCGAATGGGCTGATTTGTTTAAGGAAACCCATGGGTAGGCCGGGGGTTAAATAGTATAAACAAAATCAATTTTTTTCAAAAATCGAAATTTGATTTAAAATAATTCCATAGGCAACCCCGAGCACTTCAGCTAGTTATTAATATAACAAAAATCATTAAAGAAAAGTCGAAAAAAGTATACAGTAAAAAATTTAAAGTTAGAAATAATAATGTGTTCATTAAAAATCTTTCTGAATAGATTTTTTGTTGTAAATTTCATTTCTTTCATTAATTCGTTTCATTGTTTTTGTTTGTTTATTTCGTTTAATCCATCCTATAAATTCATTATATAATACTATACTAGTAGTAAATGCCCTACTTCATGAGGGTTTCTCAAACCCGTATCTATCCAGGTACAACTTAGTTTCACTTAGCTATCAATGTCTAAACCTTGTCTTGTAAGCTATTAACGTCAGTCGGACACTAGCTCGTAAACTATCAATGACAAACCAAAGGGCACAATCTAGTAAGCTATCAAAGTCAACAGGACACTAGCTCATAACTATCAATGCCAAACCAATGGGCATGATCTTGTAAGCTATCAAAGTCAACAGGACACCAGCTAATAACTGTCAATGCCACACCAATGGGCATGATCTTGTAAGCTATCAAAGTCAACAGGACACTAGCTCATAACTATCAATGCCAAACCAATAGGCATGATCTTGTAAGCTATCAAAGTCAACAGGACACTAGGTGGTAACTATCAATGCCAAACCAATGGACACGATCTTGTAAGCTATTGATGTCAACTAGACACTATGCTTGTAAACTGTAATGCCAAAATAATTGGTACCATCTCGTAAGCTATCATTGTCAGTTAGACACTAGCTCGTAAACTATCAATGACAAACCAAAGGGCACGATCTCGTAAGCTATCAAAGTCAACCAGACACTAGCTCATAACTATCAATGCCAAACCAATGGGCATGATCTTGTCAGCTATCAATGTCAACAGAACACTAGGTGGTAACTATCAATGCCATACCAATGGGCATGATCCTGTAAGCTATTTATGTCAACTGGACACTAGGTGGTAACTATCAATGCAAAACTAATGGGTAGGATCCTCAACTTGTTTGTTAAAACAAGGAACGATTACTCTCTCGCAGTATTCAGTAGGGAGTCTTTATATCAACTGATTTGTATTTAGGTATCTATGGTACAAGTTAATATTAATCGACGTTATTACAAGCTTTTCGTTGACATATATATATACAATGAAGTTAAATGTACGTATTTGCAAAATTAGCACAATTTCACAATTACACGATATTTATTACATACTAATATATACTATTCATTGTATAATAATCTGACCAATTTCATTCTTGTCATCTTTTTTTCAACCTTTTGATCCTAGTTATTCCTTGATACAGTGTATCCTGAAATAGGATCAGATAAACACGAATCCAATCCAAACTTTCCAGATTCTATAGATTCTTCTACTGAAGAAATCTTAAATCGGAATTTCAATTTAACAAATGCTAAAGATTAGTTTTCTTCAATACAGAAAGCAGACTGTCACAAAAAAATGGTTTTAAGAAGAAAACAAAATTAAATGAAAAAAGGAAGATTTTAGCAATGAAAATAGTATTAACCCTATAAAAGTGGAATGGTAATTTGTTGTTTCCTAGTTAAGAAAATGAATATGCTTTGACACTAAGGGGGGGGGGGNAAAATAATCAAAACTTGAAATGTAAATTATCCAATTTATAAAATGTATTGAAATTCTGGTTAAAAGGGTTGAAACTAATCTTAGTTTGAGTGTTGAGGATGCTTCAGAGTTTTCCTGGAAACTCATTCAACTCATTTTACACTTTTCTCCCCCCTGGCAGGATTAAACATGGGTTTTAAACTTGAACAATTGAGTTCAAGAGAATATTCTTAATTACTTTGGAACTCTTCAGTTCCTTCGTAGGAATCTCAATACATATTGGAGTTGAATGAGAATGAGTCGTCTTCAGCTACGCAGCATTTATTTAACAAGAAAAAAATCAATTGTAAATGCCCTTTAAACGTACTAAGGCAAAATCCTGTTCTGTTTTTGGCTGTACGTATTTGGATTGAATCTAAGTGAATTTTAATTCAGATATCTACATATTTTTTTCGGATTACATTACTCTAATTACATTGCCAGAATGTATCAAAAACAATCTCAAAGGACATTTCGATCATAAAATGATAGATATGACTGTCTTTTATTTAGGAAATAAAGAAATTAAAGAAATTTTGATTGGATACGAGAAATTAGTTTCTGTTTTTAATAATTTGATGCTTCTTTAATTTTATTGTCAATATTGCTCAGAAATTGGTCTTTGATCATATGACATTTTCCATTTATTAGATTTTAAATTAATTTCTGTATGGAATCAAATCTATGATAGTGTCTGATTTCCTTTTAAGATTTGATAGACACAATATTCTACAATTCATATATTTTGCTGAACAGGAAGTTTTAAAAAGTTTCAGAATTTTTGGTGAGGTTTTTATTTTGATCTTTTTATAAATGTTGGATTGAAAGTTTGACTTGATTTATTAAACAAGTTAGAAAGACAAATTTGAAATGTTGAATCCAAGAATTCTAAGAAAATTAATCATCTTTTTGAGCAAACTTTTTCCTACAAATTCAAAATATTAAAAATCTTTTATAAAATAAATTCTAGATTTATTTTGTGTAGATAAGCTAAATTACTCTAAAAACTAGACACACAGGTTTTCAATCATTTTTAAAGTAAATTCCTTAAAATTATGTGACCATCAATATTTGAAAGAAAAAATCATAAAAGGATTCAGGTATATCTTCAATCATTTTCAACTAGTGAATAGCGCAACAACTGTAAGGACAAAAATAAGTAAAATTTGTGAGACTTATTAATATCTTGAAAAACATGAAAAACTGTCAAAAAATGAGGTGGGGATAAAAAATGTTAAAAAATGAGGAAGGGATAAAAAATGTAAAAAATGAGGTGGGGATAAAAATGTTAAAAAATGAGGTGAGGATAAAAAATGTTAAGAAATGAGGTGAGGATAAAAAATGTTAAAAAATGAGCTGAGGATAAAAAATGTTAAAAAATGAGGTGGGGATAAAAAATGTAAAAAATGAGGTGGGGATAAAAAATTTTAAAAAATGAGGTGGGGATTAAAAATGTTAAAAAATGAGGTGGGGATAAAAAGGTTTAAAAAATGAGGTGGGGATGAAAAATGAGGTGGGGATAACAAAAAATTCAAAATGTAGTGGGGAAGAAAAATGTAAAAAAATGAGGTGGGGATAAAAAACTTTTTATTAATGAGCTGTAATGATATACTAAAAATGAGTTGGAATATTGAAATAAAAATGGTGGCAGATTATGCAGATGTAGACCCATGAGTTTATGAATACTCAACAGAGTTTATGAATTTACAGCTTAAAGAGGAAACCAGACAAGGGAAAGTGCATGAAAGCCAATGTCAAATCATAAGAAAAAAGCACAAAACTAGCTTACTAGCTCGTTTTGAAACTATCTTTGATGACTTTTTAAATTTGTATGATTTTTGGAATTCTCTTTAAGTTCTGTTTTATGTTGAGGAAAATAGTTAACGCTATTTTATTATTCTGCTACATTAGGAATATAAAGAGAAATAAAAAGATTCAGTGGAAAAAGAAAGGTCCAGACCAAGGTTAAAATGCAAGGAAAGTTTATTGCAGTTGCGTATTCTCTGTGTATATATTGAAATCAGTTCTCTCTGGGCGGTATTTGTAAACAAGAATAGATGCATCAGTGTTCGTTTAGTATCCGAGGAGGTTAAAAGCATTAAAATTTGATAATTTTGATAATTCTCATAAAAGTTTCCTATGACCAGAATATTTCATCGATTTTTATGTGAAAGATGGCTCCCATGTCAGGCTTCGACATCCATTTTGCGTTTACATTACCGCCTAGAGACAGTACACTGCAGTACAAAAGATGCGTACACCTCTGAAATAACTTTCCTTGTATTATAACCCTGACTTTTTCAGTGTTTTTTTTTCACACTTTTAATTTTCTTAAACTTGTCTATTCATTTTTAAAAATTGAAAATACATTTTAAGATATTCTTATCCGGGGCTCCTGGATATTTTGAAAATATTGATTTGTTTAGAATTTATCGTGAAAGGAATATTTGTCTGAATAGATTTTTAACGAACTATTTCAATAAGTTCAAAGTTTGTCAATAGGTTCATAATAATAATTCATTATGTTTATATAACCTTCCTAGCTCAACCATATTCATATAAACTGTGCTCTCCGGAGCCTAACATTTCCGGGGGTTAGGGGGCGGGGTTCTGTTGCCCCCCCCCCTTCTTATTGCCCTTGTTATTTTTAACATTTTATAAATCATCAGACAGTTCTTGGCATTTAACCTGAAGTAGCGGCATTGTAGGTTTTCCATTCAACGCAAGTGTATTTAATTATTTGCACGCAATTGCGAGCCCTTTAATTCCTCGCAATTTTGCGCAATTCCACACAATTCTTCGCAATTCCTCGTAATTCCATGCAATTATGCGCAATTCCACGCAATTCCACGCAATTCCACGCACGCAAGGTTAAAAATTTATTCTGAATATATTCCCCACATCTTCACATACACACACCCCATTTTCATCATCACACTTTTCAACCACAAATTTCATAAATTATAAATTTTCAGAATATTCTAAAGTAAAATGAAATTCTATTGAATATATAGTTTGG